TCCGGAGGATCGCGCGGCTAGGATCTGCCTTCAACCCCATCCTTCCAGCCGACGGTCTCAGTACGAACTACGATGTCGCGCTCGACGACGAGCCTGCGACCTATGGACTCTGCATCGTCCTCGCTTAGGATTGCATTGGCTTTGAGTATGTCGCTAGCGACTCTGACTAATAGTGGGGGGCGCGTGGGATGCTTCTGTCGCTGCGCCTTGCTGAACGACGGGCTCCGGCAGTAGATTGACGATATATGCTTGTAGGACGTCTGCATATATTTGGCTAACTTTCAGCATTCTCATGGCATGCCGAGTCCCAAGCTTGCGTACCGGTGGATTGCCGGTGGTCGATCTGTTTGCTGCTGGCAAATTCACTGACGCATTTTAGCCAATCAAACGCGAGGCTTGTCGGTGTCCTTGAGACAGGCGCCTGGTGGTCCATACAAACATCAAGTTCAAAGTTGGTCGCCGACGTGCTGACCTTATAAATTCCACCGCGACCGACTCGTCATCGCATCGGCACAGCGATCCCTTCATTCTCGCGCTAAAATTTAGGACAAGATTTCATCTTCCCATCTCACCCTCCAACGTCGCTTCGCCGGGCCCAGTAGTGACCCAGTGACGACGCGCCAATCCACTCTGCCATCTGATTGGCCGAGCCGTACCCAATCAGCTGCCCATCGCATTTCACAAACTGCGTCACATTGCCCATGCGGCCAAGTCAGCCTCTCCTCGCGATCGACCCGCAGACCAAGGCCAACGACACCAGCACCGGCCTCTTGCTGCTTCGAGACCTTCTCTGCTGGCCCTTCCAGTGGCTCACCTACGCCACGCTTCTCTACGCTTCCGCCCACGTTCTCTTGACGCTCATCGCGTATCTCGCCGTCGTCCCCGTCGTCCTTCTCGCACTCTGTCTTGTGCCGTACGCTGTGCTGCGCAGCCTCGCATGCGTGGCCATCCAGCGCTCCGGCCGTCTATTGTACCCGTGGCGCGTCTTGTATGCGTGCACGCGCCCGCTGGTCGTCGCCGACGTGAGGCTCCACAACCAGTTTGCGCCAAGCTCCAAGACGATCACGCTCGCGTACGACATGAGCGTTCGGCAGAGCGCGAGTCGCGGATACCGGCCTCTCTTTGTGGTGCGCATGGTCGATGTGCGCACGCCGATGGCGCTGATAAAGACGTGGGCGTACCTGCTGCTCGGCCGCGCCGTGCTCTGCGTGCCTCTCGGGTACTTCTGGGGCAGTACACTCTGGGATGTGGCCGAGTCGGCGATCGAGCTGGCGGTCATGGCTCTGCAATGGCGATGGGACGACTTTGAGTTTTGCTTTGGGTGGGGCAAAAGCGTGAGCTGCGTCGATCATCCGTTTGGCTGCGTCGGGGTCTACGTCCTCGAATGTCTGCTTGTCGTTGTCCTCCGGGCGCCGCTCGTCAAGCTGCTTTCCTGGGGCACGCGATGCGTTAGTAGCGAGTCGGTGCTTGTGCTAAACCACGACCCGATGATGCCAGTGTAATGTCATACTTGTACTAGTTACGGGTGTGTTGTGCGCTGCGGCGTGTTTCTCTAGGACGAGTTGCACACTCTTGTAAAGCCTAGTACTGTAGCCCGACATTGCTTCTTGTTTACTTATCGAGGATCATTTCACTTCCCGTGCGTGAGGCTGTCGTACTGTTGCGTAGAGGGTTCCTGCCTTTCTGAGACTGCGCTCACATACCGGCACGGAACGACACTTGGCTGAACGCCTAGTGTTCGATGTGGAAAAGGCGGCAGGAAATTGCCCCACCCGGTCAATGTGATGCTAAGAACTGAGTTTGAACGGGTCTCAGAAGGCAGCCGACAGCCCATACAAAGGGTCGGCGCTATGGCCTGGACCGTACAACACGAGTGTACCGTTGTGAGAGCTTGTTGGGCAATGCTCGGTTGCGACTCGCGACCTCCTATGGACGACTACATGTGCCAGCCGGCGACCAGAACGATGTGCTGGTTGCGAAATTGCGCCAGATGCGTCGCGTCCAGAACGGACGCACTATCACGTCGCGTCATGGCTGTGCAGAAGCGTCTTCTAGTCCTGTTGCTGCCATTCTTCTTCTCAGCGCTGCTTCTGTCGTGGCCAAGACGCCGACGTCGCGGTGCACAGTAGGATGCCATGGGTAATACATCCGGAGACAATCGACCGACCAATCAAGTGCATCCTTGAAGACAGCGTAAAGATCGCGTTCGCCCGTGGCAAGGACAGGACCGTGGTGCCAACGACGGCCGTGACGTCCCGTCGCCAGCAACCCACTTGGGCCATCGTGCAATGTAATGACCTTGGCGTCCGTGGCACAGAGAGACGGCCGCGATTCGCATCATGATGACGACGAGCCGGTTCCGACGCCTCCAATGGTATTACATAAACAGCCCCGCTAGACAGCACGGGGCGCAACGGGCACAAAAGGGCTCGTGTCCGCACCCAGAACAAGCCGCGCGCGGCGACATGCTGCGCGGACGACGCATGCTGCTCGCCGATTTCGTCATCGCAGCGAGGGCAGTCGCAGACACGGCAAGGAACGTGTCGTCGTCCTCAACTTCAACGTACCCAAGTGAATGGCGTCTGAAGGCGGCGCGTGATACCGTCGTGTACTTGGACCAACTCGATCGACTCAGAAAGGCGGGCGGGCGATGGCGGCGGTGCCGGCCTTTCGCGGTCACGCCACCAGCCACGTGGCGCCTACGTGCGCTGGATATTATTGTGCCAACTTGGATACCTTGTCGCGACACACGCATCGACGCGATAGCAGCATGGACGCTCGGTGCAGCCACGCAGCCAGATACGCAGCCAGATACGCATGGGCGACCTTGAAGCGACCACGCTGAATCTGGTTGCGTGACCGCAAAATCGACGGCGAGATCTGATTCGTGTCTTCAAGTGCACTCCTGACGCCGCCGGCTCACGCGTCCATCTCGGACGTCCCACGGTCGCGCATCTTGTCCATACAGGCACGCGCGTTGCACATCGAGCAGCTGCCATTTTATATTGGATTAAACTATGCTAGTACCTTGAAGCTCGCACCACGTGGCGGAGTTGCCCTTTTTCAGTTGTGAAATTTACACCAAATGATGACGAAAAGCCAGGCCCGTGTCAATTGCCTTGGTTTTTGTATGGACGCAGCGGTTTCTGGCCTCCGAATCGAAGCGAACGCCTATACAAACAGCAGGTGCAGCGTGGCACCCGATGGCATTCAAATAGTGTGCATTCAAATAGTGTGCGGGCAAAAGCAACTGGCCAAGGGCTTGCCCATTTCCCGACTTCCTCCATCGTGGCCGGCTATATGGCCTTCTCGTTCAACGCCCGGTCTCTAGACGACATGGATATGCTCTTCAACATCGAACCCGTCCCGTTCTTCGACCTCGACATGAACGAGGACATGGACATGGACGGCCCGCCCCACCACGGGCGCCCGGCCATGCAGACGACGCAAGGCGGCGGCGCGACGACACAGCCGCTCTTCTACCCGTCCAACGACATGGCCGGCAACGCGTTCGTGTCGCCCATGTACTATGATGCGATGAAGATGGAGATGCCGTCGGCGCCCGCGCCCGTCTTGTACCCAAAGAAGGACACGTCGACGACGCAGCACTTTAGCCGCAGCCCACCGGCGCGCAACAACGCGTCGAGCCTCTCGTCGATTAGCTCGCGCTGCCAGACCGAAGAAGAGCTCCTCGCGCAGCCCGTCTCGAGCCTCACTGAAGAAGAGAAGAAGATTCGCCGCCGTGCCCAGGTCGCCAAGTCGGCGCGGAAGCACCGCAAGGGCCTCAAGGAAGAGCTCGAGATGCTGCGGCAACAAGTCAAGTACCTCCAAGAACAAATGGTAGCCAAGGTGACCACGGTCGCCGACGACGACATGTCGGTGGTGGCGCCCGAGACGGCCAAGCTTGCGGACCCGTCGGCCACCCGCGTCTTGCACCCGTACACACACGTTCCGGCGAACCCGGAGGAGCGCAAGGTGGCGCTCATGAAGATTGCCGATCAGAGCATGGCACGCGCGTGGACGCTTGTGAACGCGGAGCGCGGGCAGTCGTTCCCGTACTTTGACATGAAGCTCAACTCGTCGGGGCCCGACATGGAGATCCAGCTCGTACGTGGCAAGATCATTGAGCACTTTGACCACAAGACGATCGTCGACGCCACGTGGAACTCGGTGCTGGATTTCTCGTTTGACGTGGATGCGCGCTTGAAGCGGTATGTGCAAGTGAAGAAGCTCATGAACCTCGACGCCGACACGCGCTATGGGCGCATCAAGATCCCGATCCTCAAGACAGCGAAAGGCGTGCTCTGCATGGAGTCGTTCTTCCTTGTCCGGCGCAAGATTTACGACAACCATGCGGTGCTCATGTGGAAGACGATCGATTCGGACGAGCTGTTTCCGAACGAGACGCAGTCGCTGCGCAACGTCGAGCTCGGCTGCGCGGTCCTCGAGACCCAAGACCTCCCGAACGGCCAGAAGCAGACGGTCATGCGCTGCGTTGTGCACGCGATGCCACCGGTGAAAGCCATCGCCGAGCCGAAAGGGCGCGTCAGCGAAGCCTTCCTCTCAACGCTCTGCCGATGCTCGGACTTCTTTGACGATGTGACCCGGGACACGCTGCTCCAGTCGCGCAATAAGCTGCCCGCGCAATAAATAGTTGTTAGTTGTTTTTGATCATCGTGTCATCGCCTCTATGCGCCGCCCTTGTCTTATGACAAGCCAAGGAACGGGCAAGGGTGAGGGCAGCGATGTCAAGGGTATATCGCAATAAACCCGTGCTGGTACGTGCGACAGTGGAGGCGGCGGACCTACAGAACGCATCATCGGACAGGCAGGGTGACGGCAACGCGGATATGAGGCCGGGCGTCACAGACACGAGCGGCCACGGACGCGCCTCGTAGCATCATCGAAGCGACAAGCCACCGACCAGACGAGACGTGAGCGTCGGTGGCATCACTCTGCGAGGCGCAATGCAAAATGGGAAATGACGGCGTCGGGCTCACGATTTGAGTAGCTCCTTGGTGTTGACAAGACAAGGCCGTCGTTGAATCAACATGCCTCAGCGTGTCCCTTGATCACGTGCACGGCCGGGTAGATTCCTTTGCGACGACCGGCGTAGCGTTGTTGCAGCACGCGGGAATACCCACGTTGGTCGCGGGTGCGTGGCTGGCGCCAGCGCTACGTCCGATCAAATCACCAGATCGTCGGTCGCTCTGCCCTCGTAGTGCGAGCGCACACAAAGCATGAGGATCCTCGTCGCCAGCATGGGACGCTGCTAAGAGGTCCACACTCAGCTCTTGCTGGCAGCGACGGTCGAGCGTCTACCAGGGGCTCTACCAGGCGCTCTACCAGTTCAGGTCAGTGGCAAGTTGACGTCGACAAACAAGCCTTCGCGGCGCGGCCTGAAGGAATGGCCTTTCCGAGCTCTGGCATTCGATTGGTCGACGCAGTTGCACTTGTTTGATTGCATCATCGGTGCACCGATGACGTAAACGCGTCATGTTGGCAGCTTACCGGTACATTTTTATAAAGGTAGCACACATGTATACAAACACGAGGCTGCAATAAAAAGGACAATAAAAACAGGAGTGGTTCACGTAAGCACCCGACATGGGCTGGATTTGGCGTGAACACACACGGGGTAGGGCTGGTAGTGGTGAATAAAGCGTGGGAAATAGAGGCGCGTCCTGCGATTTGTATACCGAACGGCGGGGCGTTGTGAGAAATACAGTGGGACAACGTGGGATATTTATTTTCACACGTGAAGATTACAGGTATACCAAGCGAAGCCGGTTGATGGCGACGGTGACATCGCCCTTTCTTCTTCCAGTCGCCAACACAACCAAGATGCAGTTCGAGCCCGCGTCCCCGCGCCCGGCCACGCTGCCGCCCTTGCCGCCGGCCCGCCCGCTGCCACCGCTCTCATCGATCTGCGGCATGCCACGCCAGCCTTACCCAGCTGCCACCAGCTACCCGCCTTACCCCGAGCCATCGGCCAAGGCCAACGACGACGACGATGACGATGACGACGCCGACGTCATGGACGACGAAGACGAGCACAAGAAGACACGCCGGCGCGAGCAGATTGCGCGGTCGGCGCGCCGCCACCGGTCCAAGCAAAAGGAAGAGCTCGTGTCGCTGCGCCAACAGGTCTACTTGCTCCAAGGCGAAATGGAGGCGTTGCGGGTCAAGCACAAGACCGCGCACCCGGACGGCAGTGACTTTACCGAGTGGGAAGAAAAGGTCGTCTCTTCATTGTTGTGCTCTTTGTAGCTCATGTCGATGGGCAGGCCCTCGCCCAACGGCGGAAGCGCAAGAAGGCGGAAGACGAAAATGGCATGTTGCGTGGCCTCTTGCACGACCAAGCCACGTTCACCGAGACGGTCCGCGACATGTGGATCAAGTCGCCGCTCATTACAGTACCCCTTGGTAGTGCTCGGCAATGCGTGCTGACGTGGTCCATCTACGTAGCAGTACCCTGGCATGACACCGTCCATCTTGGCGGGCGACCGGTCGTTCAACCACCTTGGGCGCGACCTGCCGAGCCGGATTGCGGCGCTCCAGCGCATCGCCGAGACGCGCATGGAGCTCGCGTACGAGTTTGTCATGCGGGAGACGCACGCGTTTCCCAGTACCCCGGGGCACCTCGTACGCGCCTCGTGTCGTTGCACTTTGTTCTGATTAGGATATTATTGGTCTAGGATATCAAGCTCAACGGGACGGGCCAAGACATTGATATCAAGCTCATTCGCGTGTGCGAGATTGACGGCGTCGACCACCATCAAGTCATCGAAGCGCTCATCCACTCGGTCATCAACGACCCGGCCAAGCTGCTCATGGTCGACGCGTGCACGCGCTATGGCCGCGCGTCGCTGCCCGTGTCGATTGACCAAACGCGGTACTCGATGGAGTCGCTCTTTGTAATTCGCCATCGGAGCTCCAACTCGATCGGGATGGTGTCGTGGGACTCGGTCGACCAAGACGATTTGCACCCGATCCCGGACGAGTACACGATCCGCAACGAAGAAGTCGGGAGGTACGCGCTTCGAGCCTGCAATTGGATTGTGTTTTTCTTTTTGATTGAATCCCACACATCTAGTGTCCTGCTCAACACGTGCTTTCGACCGGACGGCGCCAAGTACACGACGCTGCGCTTTGTCTTGCACTCGCGCCCGCCGGTCAAGGCGCTCGCCAAGCCGAGCAGCAAGATCAACGAGGCGTTCCTCACGGTGTTTTGCCGCCGCGCCGAAGCGCTCGAGAAGCAAATGCGCACGAAACTCTCCATGTTCCCGCCCGTCTCGTGCGCGTCCGAGTCGTCGACGTCGTCGCCGTCGTCGCCGTCGCTCTCGACCACGTAGCCGATTGCTTTTTTCTTTCTGTGCCGTATCTTCTCGTTCTATCCTCTAGTTTAACTCTTTTACTAATACCACCACCCTGCTAACGAATAGTATTTTATACTAGCACGCATTTCGTATCGACTGTGTTGAGATCGGTAGCTTGCATTCCAACTTGAACTGGAGGCTCGAGGGCGACACCAAGAAGAGCCGCGACCTTCCGCGCGACGTCAACACGTCAATGGTTTGCAGTTGAATGATCGGTACCAAGTCCGTGTGCACATCCAGACAATGCTCCTTGGCCTTGCAAAAGCATGGCTCTCGGTTGACCAAGTCAACCTTTGTTCTCGTACCCCAGTCCTGTGTCTCTCCTGAGCTACCGATGACGACTGCTCTCTATCGACAGGTGTCTCGAGAGACTCGGCGAGACCGCAACAATCATTGCAACCAGGCGCAGAACAGAGAGCGGTCGACGCAGCATATCGCGACCACCGTTGTCTCTTGTCTGCGCACTCGTTTCGACCACGTACAATCGTTCTGCGTGGAGCTTGGAGTCAGAGCGCAGTAGTATTGATTCTCGCAACTCCCTGTATACGTCGTCCTATGCATCTATCAACGTGCCGCGAGCCCGGGTCTCCACTGCCGTGTGCCTCGAGAGGGCGGCGAACACATCGATGCCGGCCACAGGCGTGTACGACGCCAAGAAAACCAGCACGTCGCGCACCGAGTATCGCGTTTTGACGTCTTGCACCGTGTTCTCGAGGCAATTGACCAGCGCCGCGTGTTGAAACGTGTAGTAGCGAAGCGTGGATCGGCCCTGGAGCGACGCCGCGACCCACTGGAGAAGGAATTTCAGCTGGACGTCGCCGCCAAAGACGCCGCAGCCCCAATTGCCCGTCGCGATCGCCCGATGCGGCGCAGTCAACGGCTCGTCCGGGAGCGCACCAAATCCAACACATGCCTTGTGCAGCTCGCGTCGCATGTCCTACTCCACAGAGCCCGCGATTGGACCTCAGAAGATACGAATCGAGAGAGGATGGACCTGGACGCGGTACTGGTGGTGAACACAGTGGCTTGCGTACTTGGTGGCATCGATCCCGACGATGACCGTATCCCGGCACTTGGTAACTGCGTCCACGGGCGTCGCGTCGACAAAATCACCATCAAATGCAAACGTCGCGCCATCTACAACCAACCACAGTTTGATTTTGAGAAAGGACCGATCGATGCGACGCACAGCCACGGTAGCGTGCATACTGCTCGGTGCCGACGACGTAAAACCTCTCGTTGTCCCCTATGACAAACGAATATCAAAACCCAAAACGATCAAGTTGATAGTGGCACGAACCGAGGACTTCGGTGAGCGCACACGCAACGATGCACTCGGGGTTGATCACAAAGCGGATCTCTTCTTGGACGCAGCCGTGGCCGAGGACACCGCCGCCCGCAAACTTGTTGGCAAAGTCGATTTGAACCGCGCCCATGTCCGCCTCAATCGCGCCGTTCATGCAAACCACGACAGAGGTCCACGGACAAGCCGTGGACGTCGGCGGCGGGTCGTCGTCGTGCGTGCGGCCAAACGTCACACACTGCGTCCAGGACGTCGAGAGCTGCAGTCGGACAAAGTAGTGGAGCAGACACACGAGCTTCTGCACCATGGGTGCACTGGAGCGCCAGTGCTGACCGTGACTGCGCGCCGCGTGGAGCCGCCAAAAGTTGATAGCGTGCGGAAAGGTCTTGGGGACGTCGGGGACGTGCGTGCAGAAGAAGCCATGCACAAGCAAGCACGCGGTCTGGCGCTTCGTCAAGGTCACGCTGGCGCTCTTGCCTCTTCGTAGGAGCGGAGGCGACGTAAGGAAGAGCAGCGGCAGCTCCAGCGCGAGGGTTTGCATCCACGGCAGAACTTGCGCTAGAAAGACATGCGCGTCGTGTGGAGGGAGTGCCTAGGATAGTGACGCGTGCGTTTTTGAGGGATCTTGCACCTGGATGGCCTTGTACAAGCCGAGCAAGGACCGCGGTGCGAGGCTGCTGCCGACGATCCTACGGTCGACGCATCATGGCAAAGGTGATGGAGGAATAGGGGCGGTACTGCAAAATTGCGTTCTGAAGCGCGTCGATGGTCGTAAGCGGCTGCGCCAAAAGCCCCGCGACGTATGGCCATAACGGCACGCCTTCGTCGGAGATGTGGTGCGGCGACGACGGCAGCCGGAGATGCGCGGCGTCCCAGCAGTCGACATAGCTATCGTCGATCGGGTAGAGAAGGCGAGCGCACGGCAGCGGCGGCGCAAAGAAGCAACTGTCCGAGGTACACAGGCGTCGCTGCGATTTCTGCACCTGCTCGAGCCAATGCAGCGTCACGCAGATCGCGTTGGTCGCAGGCCGCGAAAGCGGCAGCCAATAGTCGACGACAACATACGTGGCGCGCCAGCGAGCTGACGCCACTGTTGTCGTCTCGCCGCCCAAGGCCGCCACGATGGCCTCGACTCGCGCGGCCTTGGCGCGGGATAGCCCTAGCATGCTCACCGTGCAGCCCGCAAGGACACTGCTAGCGTCATCCGGTGCGCTGAAGCGCGTTCGCTTGCCCAAGACCGACGGCGCCGTCTCGAGCTTGGCAAAGTAGTGCGCAATGCTGCTGGAGCTCGACTTCGCCATTTCCAGATTGCACGTCCTCTCAGATCGGATATTTGACCTACATTGATACAGGTTAAAGTGAATGATGGTGGTTAGGACCGCAACAGATACTATATGACCTACACTATGTACAGGTTGAAGTGAATGATGGTGGTTTGGGCCAGCGTTGAACGATCGGTACCAAGTCCGTGTGCACATCCAGACAATGCTCCTTGGCCTTGCAAACGCATGGCTCTCGGTTGACCAAGTCAACCTTTGTTCTCGTACCCTAGTCCTGTGTCTCTCTTGAGCTACCGATGACGACTGCTCTCTATCGACAAGTGTCTCGAGACTCGGCGAGCCCTTGAGACTCGGCGAGACCGCAACAATCATTGCAACCAGGCGCAGAACAGAGAGCGGTCGACGCAGCATATCGCGACCACCGTTGTTTCTTGTCTGCGCACTCGTTTCGACCACGTACAATCGTTCTGCCTGGAGCTTGGAGTCAGAGCCCAGTAGTATTGATTCTCGCAACGCCCTATATACGTCGTCCTATGCAGGCGCTGGTCAATTACCTCGAAGACACGGTGCAAGACGTCAAAACGCGATACTCTGTGCGTGACGTGCTGCTTTTCTTGGAGTCGTACACGTCTGTGGCTGGCGTTGATGTGTTCGCCGCCCTCTTAAGGCACACGGCAGTGGAGACCCGGGCTCGCGGCACGTTGATAGAGCGTGTTGAAACGTGTAGTAGTGAAGTGTGGATCGGCCCTGGAGCGACGCCACGAACCACTGGAGAAGGAATTTCATCTTGCGCAGCGCGAGGCTTCGCCCTTACAAGTATACAACCAAGAGACTCCAAGGCAACTGCACGCCGTAGTATGCTGCGGCGTAAATGGACCGGCAGCATCGTCAGTGACACACGGGATCAATGCCACCACCAAGGTCCTCAGCACGCTGAGGACGCTGAAGAAAAGGTGCAGCTCTTTAGCGATCCATCACGTCGCTAGTCATTCCGACCCATCGACCAGCGGTCCGCGCACAGCATTTCATGTCGTTCGTCCCAAAGGCGCTGCGCCGCTCGTCCATCATTACACAGCAGTAGTGCGTTCAACAAACTCGGGAGTAGCCAGACGCGTGCGACTGCTCGCTGCCGCGCTCGCCACGTCATCGCCCTTTGGACCAGTGCTCGGTCGGGCCGTGCGGATAAAAATACGCGCCTCTATGCTGCCCTTTCTATCGGGTTCAAGAAAATTCAATTAAATGTCTGTGAGTAACTGGCCTTGGATTTAATACCAAGCGCGTACGATACAAAGCCCAAGTGTAAAAAAAGAAAACCTTACGCGAGTGAGCCAGTAAGTACGAAACATACTGCGCTTTGTATACCATAGATTGGCAGAGACGCTGCCCGTCGACAGCAGGGAAATGCGCCAATCGAAAGCCTCGGGAGCGTAACATTGCAAGAAGGCAGTGACGTCGGCAGCACCAGTTGCCACCCCTCCAGCACACCCCCAGGTACGCGTGCGAGGCAACGTACCGTGATGGCCCATGCGCCTCGTAGGCGCGAAGACATGGCGCTAGGATTCGGCACCAAAGACGCGTCCGTCGCCGGCGACCGCGGCTCGACGTCGGGGAAGACCGGCAAGTTCTTCAAGAGCATCCTCGCCAAGCACTCGAAAGACAAGAAGCCGTCGTCCGCGAGCGCCTCGATGGCCACGATCCGCTCCAACCTCTCCACGTCGGACGACGACCTTGAGAAGAGCGACTACACCGAGGGCTCGCGCCATGGCCATCAAGGCAACGGCCTCAGCTCCATGAGCTCCAAGAAGTTTAGTCTCATCACGTCGTTCCCGGACCACAACCCGGAGGCCGAGTGCCCTGACTTTTACGCGCCCTTGAGCCGCAGCGGCGTCCTTGTCAAACAGGCCAACCACCTCAAGAACTGGAAAAAACGCTTCATGGTGCTGCGCGGGCAATCGCTCTTCTACTACGTCTCGGGCGCCGTACGTCACCTTGTGCATATCTACTACGATCTTATCCTGCGACATATTAGGCCAGCGAAGACTCGTACCCGAAAGGCCTCATCTCGCTCGTTGTACGTACCGGCGGCGCTCTGTGCCATTTGCTCAATCGCTCGCGTCGTCTAGGGCGTCGAAGTGCAGCTTGTGGACGTTGCGCGCTTCAAGAAGCAGTTTTGCTTTGAGCTTTCCCACCCCGTACAACGATAACGACGACACTTATAGGCTCATCATCGCTCTGTGGTAGTATTACCGGCCGCTGTACCTCATGGCCAAGAACGAAGCCGACCTCACGCAGTGGATGAGCTGCATCAAGTCGGCGTCGCTGCCGCTAAAGGACGGCATTGTCGACGCGTCGCGCGAGCCGAAGGACGTCCTCTTTGACCTGCCGCCGCTCGAAGGTCGTTCTCGCCGAGGCAATGGGGTCTCATGTGCAGAAGCGTAGACGTGGTCGCGTACCAACGTGCATTCTACTGCCGCAAGAAGATCGCGTACTGCCTGCCGCAGTACGAGGGTCTAAGCGAGAAGGAGAAATTCGAGCTCCGAGACAAGCAGATCAAGGTCTTGCAAGACATCCACATGTACTGCGACACGTTCCCGTACGTGCTTTTCTATCGAAAACATGGCCAACGACGGGATTGAACGCACTGCTAGGACGCTGCTCTCGGACCCGCACTTGTACAAGGAGATCATCCACCTCACGTCGTCGTACCTCTTCCGGCCATTTCCGTTTCTTCCGCCGCAGGACCCGAATGCGATCTTTTTTGAAGAGAATGGCGACGCCGACCAGATCAACGGCGGGTTCCCCGGCGAGTACATGGGCGAGTGCACGGCCGAAGACCAGGAGTGGAGCGTCCTGAGCATCAACTATGACATTCTCGTGCGCGCGATCGAGTTTATTGACCAGCTCGAGAAGCAAATCCGCAAGGACTTTTACACACCGCGATTTGTGAGCCAGCTCGTGAGCCTCTTCAAGACCCCTTCGTACAAGGAGCGCCAGATCCTCAAGGTATGGTTATGTTTTCCATCGATTTTTTTCGATTCGGGGATTCATCTTGTCTTATTAGACGGTGCTCCACCGCCTCTACTACAAATTAACCCAGCGCCGGTCGCTCATCCGAAAGGAAATCTCCAACGTCTTCTTCGAGGTCCGATCTCTTGGATACTTGGTATCTCATGCAAATATGGGTAGTACATTTACGAGTCGTCCAACTATTACGGCGTCACGGAGCTTCTCGAGATCCTTGGCAGCATCATCAACGGCTTTGCCTGTCCGATCAAGGAAGAGCACGTGACGCTCCTGGAGAAGGCACTCATCCCGCTCCACTCGGTATCCATCTACATATCCACGTCGGTCTCTCTCATTTGGAGTAGACGCAAGCGTACACGTCGTACCATCAACAGCTCATGTATTGCATGATCCAGTTTGTCTCCAAGGACCACGCGCTCATTACGCCGATCGTGGCCGGTCTCCTGCGGTACTGGCCCGTCGGCAACGCGTACAAGGAGATCATCTTCCTCGTCGTCCTCGAGGAGCTCTTCGAGTACATGCTCGCCGAGTCGGACCTCGCGCCGCTCTCGAAGAAGGTCGCGATCCGCTTGAGCAAGTGCATGGGCTCGATCCAGCAGCAGGTCGCGGATCGCGCGCTCGCGTGCTGGAACTCGCCGGCGTGCGTCCGCGTCATGAACACGTACGAGAAGCTCGGGCAAGAGATGTTTGACGTCATCAAGCCGGCGCTGACGCTGACGATGGCGAGTCACTGGAACGTCTTGACGCAGCAAAAGGCCCGGGCAGCGTACAAGACGTACTACAACATGGGCTACGAGACGGACGGGAACGCGCTCGAAGACGATTCGATCGACGACGACGACGTCATGTATGTCACCAGTGAAGACCCGGCGTGCGTCGATGCCAACGGCGTTGGCGTCTTATAGAGGTATACTATCCACCCACGTGGCGTAATTTTCATTTTTATAAACCGTTTTCGCTGACAACCTGTACAGTGTCCATCGTCTACAATATCCGACAACAGGTCCACCCGACACAAGCACTTCAATACAACGTGAATAATTCATTTCAATACTTGTAGATAGATCGATGGATAGATAGATACACCCTGCGGAGGAGCTACCTTGGCTGGCGCATGGTACATACCCTGGGCTGGCGAGTGCGGAAGCAACGCCCGAGGCCAATATAACCGAGTCGGTCATCGGTTAGCCGTGATCACAACGCCCACCAGTCGCTGCGGATCGTAGCCGTCCGTCGCAACGCCTCTCTAAGGTGACCAAGAGACACATAATACGAGATAGAATACCTTGCGGCCGAGCTAATGTCTCTTTGTGCTCGAACCACTCTCTTCACAACGCTCGTGGACGCTCTCGGACCGCTCAGTTCTGAGGCGATGACGTGGCACCCGGCACACCTCATGAGACGCCGATAAAACCTCTATCAATGAATGACACATCAATTGTCAGAGGCTGGCAAAGCACCGGTTGCGGTCGTCATTTGAGGTTGTAAAAAGATGCGAGTCGCGGCTCTCCTCGCGCTCGGCCTCGCGCTCGTCAGCGCCGTCGACCGCTCCAAGTTCAGGCGCTGCGACCAGTCGTCCTTCTGCGCAGCCCAGCGCGGGAAGGCCGGCGAAGGCTACACGCTCGTGCCGCCCGCGACGCTGCCGACGAGCCCGCTCTCGGCCTACTTTTTTTCGCTCGAGACTCCGCACAAGAAGCCGCTCTATGCGTCGCTGAGCTTCCTCGCCGCGGGCTCGGTGCGCATGCGCGTGTCCGAAGTCGCGTTCGAGCACGACTTTGACGGCTTCAACGAGAAGAACGACATTACGAAGCCGCGCTGGCAGCCGCACGACGTGCTCGTCGACACGGCGCACGCGCCGTTCCAGCGCATTGCGTCCACTCCATTGACGACGCTCGGCCCGAACGACCTTGCGTTCCAGTCGATCGACGGCGCCCACGACGTGGTCGTTGTCTTGCGCGGCGACGCGTTCGCCATGGCCGTGTACGTCGATGGCGAGCTCTCGGTCTCGGCCAACACGCTCGGCCAAATGCACTACGATCCGCGCCACGTGCGCGAGTCGAGCGCGACAGATGTGGACACAGAGAAGAAGGACGTGCACAACGGCAAGGAGATCGCCGACTATGGCGAGGACGGTCTCGCCATCTACACGGACGGGTCGCGCCAGCAAAAGGGCTCGGACGACGAGAGCGATGTGGACACCACCACGTCGGACATGTGGGAAGAGTCGTTTGGCGGCCACACGGACACCAAGCGCTTTGGCGCGACCGCGGTCGGTCTCGACGTGACCTTTCACGGCAACGCTCGCTTCCTCTACGGTATTCCCGAGCACGCAACCGACTTTGCGCTCAAGAACACGCTCGCCGCCGACCGGCTTGCATGTGCTCTCAATTACGATGCTCATCCGTTCTTTGTCGTCTAGGAAGACGCCGATCACCGACCCGTACCGGCTCTACAACCTCGACGTCTTCGAGTACGAGCTCGACGAACCCATGGCGCTCTACGGCCACATCCCCATGGTCATGGCCGCGAGCCCGCGCAACACGGTCGGCGCGTTCTGGTTCAACCCGTCCGAGACGTTTGTCGATGTGAGCGAGCACGACGACGGGTCGAAAACGACGCACTGGATGAGCGAGTCGGGCTGGATCGATCTCTTTGTGCTGCCGGGGCCGACGCCATCGCGCGTCTTTGGCCAGTTTACCTCGCTCACGGGCAAGGCGCAGCTGCCGCCGGTGTTTGCCCTCGGGTACCACCAGTGCCGGTGGAACTACAAGAACGAGCCCGACGTGGCGCGGACCAACGACGGCTTTGACACGCACGTGGTGCCCTATGACGTGCTCTGGCTCGACATTGAGCACACGGACGGGAAGCGGTACTTTACATGGGACAAGCACGCATTTCCGACGCCGATCGCGATGCAAGAGAGCTTGGCGCGCGTCGGGCGCAAGATGGTGACGATCGTCGATCCGCACATCAAACGCGACCCGAACTTTGCGGTGCACACGGACGCCCAAGCCAACGAGGTCTACATTGTCGATGAAAATGGCCACGAGTTTGACGGGTGGTGCTGGCCCGGCAGCTCGTCGTATGTCGACTATACGTCGCCGAAAGCACGTCACTGGTGGGCCACCCAGTTCCGCTATGACAAGTACATCGGCAGCACGCCGCATCTCTTTACGTGGAACGACATGAACGAACCGAGCGTGTTCAACGGCCCCGAAGTCTCGATGCGCAAGAACTGCATGTCCCGCGCCGGCGTCGAGCACCGCGAGTGGCACAACCTGTACGGCTACTACATGCAGCGCGCGACGATGGAAGGCCAGCTCGTGCGCCAGCTTCCGTCCGACGTACACCCTCTCGTCTACAAGAACGCTGACAGCTTATTTTCGCATCTAGGTGCCGCTGGATCCGACGCAGCCGATCCCAATCTCGCCCGAGATGCACCGTCCGTTTGTGCTGTCGCGCTCGTTCTTCGCCGGCACGCAGCGCTACGGCGCGATCTGGACGGGCGACAACAAAGCGTCGTGGGAGCACTTGGACTATGCGACCAAGATGCTCTTGAGCATGAGCGTCGCGTCGCTGACCTTTGTCGGCGCGGACGTCGGCGGCTTTTTCGGGTCGCCGGACGCGGAGCTCGTGACGCGCTGGACGCAGGCCGCGGCCTACCAACCGTTCTTCCGCGGCCACGCGCACCACGACTCGGAGCGCCGCGAACCGTGGGTCTTTGGCGAGCCGCACACGAGCCGCATCCGCGACGCGATTCGCCGCCGGTACCAGCTGCTGCCGTACCTGTACACGCTCTTTGACGCGTGCGCGACGTCTGGCCTGCCCGTGATGCGGCCGCTTTGGATGGAGTTTACGGCCGACACGGACGCGTATGGGATTGAAGACGCCTTCTTGCTCGGTCGCGACCTGTACGTCACGCCGATCACCAAGCCATCGGTCGACTCGATGGACGTCTACTTACCGCCCGACTCGGTCTGGTACAACGTCAACGAACGCTACGCGCGCCTTGTCGGCACTGGCCGTCGGCTCTCGGTCCGCGCGCCGATCGAGTACAGCCCGACCTTCCAGCGCGGTGGCAGCATCGTGGCCCAGCGCTGGCGCGTGCGCCGCAGCTCGGCGCTCATGCGCAAGGACCCGTACACGCTCGTGGTGGCGTTGAGCGCCGACAAGACGGCGACCGGCGACCTCTACATGGACGACGAAGTCACGTTTGCGTACGACGCGGCCAAGGCGTTGACGCGCGTGCGCTATGTATTCGCGGCCAACGAGCTCACGTCGACGCTTCTTGCGTCGGCCTTTGCGTCCGAGACGCGCGTCGAGCGCATTGTGATTGTCGGATTGGAGAAGGCCGGCGCGACGGTGGTGGCCGTGGACGCTGTGACGGGCGCCATCACCAAGGTCGAGAGCTACTACGACGTGGCTGCCGATATGCTCACGATCCGCAAGCCCAACGTGCTCGCGGCGTCGGCCTGGACGCTTCGCATTGAGTAGAGAGCGCGCATCTGCATGTGATCCAATGAAAAACGAAAGAAAATGTGTACGAGCATCAAGTCGATGGGACAACGCTAGACGTAGTAGGGCCACGCCGCCTCGGTCGGCAGGCTCTCGCGGTCGAACATGCCATACTCGTCGTCGGCGTCGTCGGCCAAAATGGCCTCGAGCGCCGCCAAGTGCAACGTTGCAGTGGCAAGGGTCGAGCCGCCTCGGAGGGGCTCACGGCGCTTGGCCTCGTCGTCGCCGTGCAGATGGCGAGGTGCGTCGTGGGTGCTATTAGCACCAAAGTCGGTGCGCCATGCGTGGTTCGAGGTGGCAAGATGCTGCATGGCGTCGCACGGCCCCGCTGACCACGACGTGCGCACCGACCCCGCACGCATCGGTGCACCGCTGCGCGAGAGCGCAAAGCTCGAGCGGAGGCCGTGCAGGAGCGACAAGTCGTGGGCCGTGTCCGTCGGTGGCGTCGTCGGCTGCCAGCTTGCAGTGGCGAACGCCGACGAGAGAAAGCTGGCCGTGGCAGCCATGTCCCAGCTCTCCAGCGCCGGAGCGTGACTCGAAGCGACGTCGGGGGTGCTTGCCAACACGGGATGCGCCGCCTCGATCGGCTGCAGACGACGGCCACGACGGTGCGCTGGTGGGGTTGAAGTTGGTGGGGTGTTGAGACCCGGTGGCGATGGCGCCGACCGCGGACGAACGGACCGGCCGCGCTTCTTGTGTGCAGCAACAGGCATCGTCTCGGGCGTCTTGGCCATGTACGTGGCAGGCTCGAGACGCGCCTTCTTGGCCGTCGGCAGGTCGCTGCTCGTCGGTGCCATGCGCAACTAAGATTTGCGATTGAGCGCATCCGGATGCGAAAGCTCACTCCGTTGGTGTGCTTTTGAGCCAATCGGATGGCCGCGTATCCGGATCCAACAAGATCGTTTTTGGCGCCTTGCCAATATGGCGCCATTTGCATAAGACTTGAATTTCGCACAATCGCACGAGTACAGTACCCTTTAGGATAACATCACACGCAGGTCCATGAGAAGATACCGCCAGTTTTATCATAGAAACACCCAGCGCTTGGGGTGTGGAGGCTAGCATACTATTACCTGTGTGCAGCTCGAACGCTGCAGCAGGTGCTAACGGGTCGTCCTTGGGCCACTAGCCGAGGACATTGTGCGTCAACGACCAAGCAAAGACTGCTGCCTTGTGTTTCGTTGCTCTCACAGAGTAGTGGTCAAGACCGATCCGGCCCCATCAAGCAACCAGCAACGTTCACAGCAACGCCGTAAACAATACTAGGGTTGCGTAAGAAGCATCTTGGTCCGCATCTATCGCCTGGCTCAACGGCTTTGGCGTCAAGATGAGTGTGTCCAACGATCCAAGCCGAGAAACAAACTCCACTTTCTACAGGTCAAAAACCATCACAGAAGGACCACGGAGCTTCGAATAAGGTCCAGTTGTGAATTGGAACGCCCGAGATGCTCATCCGGCTCAACGTTGGCGGCCGCATCTTCTGCACGTCGGAAGCAACGTTGACCAAGGTCCGAGACAGCTACTTCGAGGTGCTTTTGCGCGGTAACTGGCAGCCGGACGCCGACGGCGCGTACTTTCTGGACTTGGATCCGACGTACTTTGAGCACATTTTGAACCACTTGCGCTGTGACGCGCCGCTGCTCTCCGGCCTCGCGCCACACGAGATCATCCACGTCTCGCGCCAGCTAGAGTTCCTCCAGCTGCCGCTGCCCGTGCCGCT